ATTATAGATTGTGCAATATCACCAAGATTCTTAACTGCCGTAAACTTCAACAAAGTGCATTGTTATGTTATCCCTACGTCAGTTTGTTTAGCATTACGTTCGCCTTGCTGTACTGCATGTCACGTTCAGCCGGCAATCCCGAGATGCGAAGTATACTTCATATATAACAGTGTTAAACTCTTAAAACTAAAACTTACGAAGTTGCGACGGAGAACGCGAAAGGCGAGCAAAATTATGTAACACGGTTTTTTACTCGATAAGAAATTGCAGAGGATAACTTTTTCTACGATATCATTATTATCATTGAGATAACTATTTTAATATTTTCTTAATATATTGTTATCAGATTTATACGTAGCATAAAAAGATGATTATGCGATATTAAGAGTTTATCGATACTTACAATGGTAAAAATAAATATGTTAGCAGATTACAATATAGGTCGTGAGTAAAATAGTATTCCGACAGATTAGAGCTATTTTAGATATCAGTAAGCGCTAAGCATCTTCTAATCTTAGTCCGGTCATACATGTTTAGCTAAACTTGTCAAGTCTGTCGGAAAGTGTGAACTGTATTTGCGATACTATGCAGTTTTGTCATCTACAAACTTGACAAGCATGCTTGCGAAAACATATATATGCATGTCTATCAGATGGTCCATAGTGCATAGTGTATCTATATGCTTTGATAAATCAATCGGAAGTTGACATGACGAATAAAAGGTAATATGTGAAACATACATCAAAAAGAATTACATCTTAACTAAACAAAAATTAAAAATCTAACGATGAAAATAAAAAAAAAACGATTGAGACGCAATCGTTTCATAAGAAGATAGATTTTTAAAAAGTAAGAATTAATTTTAAGTGTATTTGAAAAAAGTAAGTAAAACAGTTAGTTGCTAAATAAAAGTTCGTAATTTTCGACTATCGGAACGTGTAGATAAGAAAATTGCACAGTTATTTTGGCTTGAAGAAAAAAATATGAAAAAATGCGTGACTTTTGCATGTATGACTTAATACATTTACTTGAACACATATGGCCAATTAGCTATATATACATACAGTTTGCGCACTTATGCTTATCAAGTGTAGATGACGAAACTACACAGTACATACGGTACACGCAAAATGACAACCATGCTTGACAAGTTTACTTGAACATGTAGGACCGGTCCTATGTAATTTAAAATTAAATTTTATAGATACTATAAATTGGCATGCCCAGTGTATCGTAAGCCAGATTTGGAATAATCAACTGACTGGCACAAAATTGATAATCATGATGAAATTATTGTTCTTAGTTCTTTTATATTGCTTTACTATTGCTTCCACTGCTACTATTGCTTATGGTAAGTAACTTAAAATAAATTGATTAATTTTGAAATCACTTTAATTTAATGTAATAAAAATTTATAAATGTAATAATAAATATTATGAATGCAGGCGGATTACAACCCAAGATTGTGGGAGGAAGACTTGCCAAACGAGGTGAATTCCCATTCCAAGTAAGTTTACAAATAAATTATTATTAATCCTAAATTAATTACTTTGTTTTAAAAATATACACATTATTACATTAAATTATGAATTGGCTGAATGTTGCTGTATTAATAAAGTTGTATGTAATACGAAAAATTTCGATGTTTTATTGTTATCACATACAAAATTATTTCAGGTTTCTCTTCAGGACATCAAAACAGAGCATCACTTTTGTGGTGGAAGTATAATTAATCAAAATTACGTACTGACCGCCGCTCACTGTTTAACTGAGTAAGTGCATAAAGAGCTAAAAAAGACTATTTCTTTTTGGGAAATATCCCAAAAATATATAATGTATTTTTTACAGAAAAGATATCAAGGAGATTTCGGTCAACGTAGGAACAACGGACTTGACAAAACCGCACTCCATATATTTGGTCGCATCGTCTTATATACACGAAGAATATAACTCTAGCAACTCTTGGATCAATGATATCGCCCTACTTAAGGTAATATAAAGTAGTAAAAATTAACAGACAAATAAATCAAACTCTTTAAAAAATTAAGATAGAGTACAAAAGTATATATGAAATATTCATTTGCAGCTTAAGACTCCATTTGTATTTTCCTCTCTGGTATCTCCCGTCTCTTTACCGATCCAAGATCAAATGGTCAGTACCAGATCGATAGCAGTCGTGTCAGGATTCGGCAGATTAGAGGTAAAGCTTTTTTTAACAATTCAGTTTATTTAGACTTCCAGTCAATCAAATCTTCGAAAATTATTTTAGTAAGTCACATGTATAAAAATTTATATTTTATCTTTGCAGTTTCAAGGGAACACGACTAAACAGTTACATGTCGTGGATATTACAATAGCCAAACATAAATATTGCAGAGACAAGTACTGGGAGAGTTCATCAACACCAATTTACCCCACGCAAATCTGTGCATTTGATCCAGTCACGAGAAAGGGTTCGTGCCATGTAAGTTATTTACAAAGTATAATATATCGCTATCATCAATTACTAGTTGTACGTGCAATTTTACGCCCAAGTAGAGTAGTCATTAACTACTTAATTTGCATTATTCTTTTCACGCAAAGCCTCCGCTCGCGTTCGTTTCTATATCACTTCTAAACACAAACAATGTCTTAATATAACATCAGTACTTGGAGTTGTATAACGTGCTTCGAATTCTCGATAACAAAAAAAACCCGATTTTATATCATTAGCGGCGATCATACTAAATGTAAAAGACAGGCATTGTGAATTACGATCTCTTATCAAGAATTTTTATTTATCAATTAATTTATCAATCAATTTATTAACTGAGTGATTTAATACTTAAAACATTCGACAACTAACATATCAATTCGCACATCATTGATTATGTTGATTGTCAGTGTATTGTATTGATTACTTTATATATTAATATATTCGGTTTCTCTCGTTATGTTTTATAATTTAATTTAATCGACAGTCAGATTGTACAACTCACAGTTGCGAGCTGAAAAAATTGAGATTCCGACATCAAATATGAATTTGATTAAAATAACAAAGCAAGAATAACATATGCAGGCTCTGCACTAGTAGAAAAACATATTTCTAGTTAATTGTAAAAATATAACACCGCTGGCGAGTGATGTTTTCCAATCAAATCTTTATAAAATATTTTGTTAGTTACTGGAGAATTAAATTTTTCAGGGCGATTCCGGCGGCCCTCTCACTGTCAATGGAGAACTCATAGGAATTGTCTCATGGGGAAACGGATGCGCTGACACAGAATTTCCCACCGTTTTTACACGTGTCCCATCGTACATTAATTGGATCAACGAACATGCCGTATAGCTTGAAATAATTAATGAAATACAGAAATCAATTTTAATATTCAATGACATGTAGGAATCGAGAATCGATACCTATAATTAAATATTCATAAATATAATATATCTTAAAATATATCACATGAGATCTTTTTATTATCATACTATTAAAACACACACACACACACACACACACACACACACACATTTAACAATTTCCGTACACTAAAAAAGATAATATCAGATAATATTATAGAGAGATTAATATCATCGAAATATCGTATGATTATTTACATATTGATATTTACATTACTAGTTTGATAAGCAAACAATAGCGGATGAGAGAGTTATGTTTAGAGAAAATACACGTTCAATTCAAATAAATTGTCAATATTGCATGCGTACTGCTACATTTTGTAATTACTACGGTCGATGTGTTAATGGTAGATGTATCTAAGGATGAAAATCGATCAGTCAAAGCGAATCCATTTAACTATTCCGGCAGCGTGCGCCAAGTGCGCGAAATTGTTTCGGAGAGATTAATGAACATTTCTCTTTCAAAAATGAATGAAAGAATCATTTGCATCTGTTTCCTCTCGTTTCCGTCATGACGTTAATTTCTATGTCCCACACATGTGCGCATAGATGAACAAGTTGAACGTGAACGTTCTCGTACGTTTCATTGAAATATATGCCTCGCGTAACATATGTCTTCTCTCATTTTATGAAATAATAATCATTGACATGCACCAGAGAAAGACGCTTGTTTTCGGACTGTTTTTCGCTCGTCAACAAATTCATCAATTGTGCCAAGAAAGGAAAGGTTTGATTAATGTATCGGGACGGCGATACGAAAAATCCGATGTCGCGTGGTATCGGATTGAAACTGAGTAGGAAAGTAGTTTGCACAGAGAGACGGATCGCATTGATGTTCTTTGCTTTTACGACGTCGTGAAGGCGATATCGAAAACGCCTGGCATCTGCGTTATTTGACTCCACCAGTTTGCATTCTTATATACAGAGAACAGAAAGCAGAACACGGCTTCCGATACGATAAAATTACGAAATGGAAAATAAGAACAAGAATGTATCGCACAAATGATAATTCTGCCATTTCAAACAATTGTCGTGAAAGACACGCGATTATTGTAAGCTCTAAAAGTAATTGTGTCATTTCCCGTATTTTCTTTAGTAAACTTTGCGCTACAACTAGCACTTCCGCTTACGCTCCCTCGGGTACTACATATAACTGTTAAGAATTACACCTGTAAGAATCTTTCTCGAGTTCATTTTCCTGGATTTAAGTAAACTTTAATTTTCCTGCGTTACAAAGATGTAACGTACATGTGCCAACTGACAATAATTATTTTACCAGTCGCAACTTCGCTTCTTATCATGTTGTCTTTAAGGGAAATATGGTTTATAAATATAGTTTAAATATTTCAACACATTTTTTTTTTTTAATAAAATTTTTTGCTGAAGAGTTTATCAAATAATTAAAATCTGCATGATATTATTTAACAGAAAATATATCAGAACTATATATATATGTATATCTCGCGTTTACACGCGATCATGTTTTGTAATCAGAATTCACGTGGAAATTCTCTCCTCTCAATAAAGCAATAACACATATATAGGCATCGCTCATCGGATATCCGTATATCCATTCTTGCAGTGTTCATCTTCATCGGTGAATTTGGATGAGGATTCTGAATAGTTGGATGATTGTGTACATCGACAAACCGAGAACAGGATCGTACACGCGAGTCGGACTATTTCACTACCTGTATGATCGATGAGAAGCTCCGGATGCGAGGTCGTCGGACGCAGGTGAGTTCTGGAACAGCGGTTCTCAATATCGCTTCTTGGTCGCCAGGATCGATCGACCGCCTACCCTCTACTGCTCTCCAAGGTAGCGCGATAACAGTCCAGGTCAAATTCAAAAATTGCAGGATTGTCGAGAATATCATCATATTTCGACCATCCATCTTCGACTATCCAGTCACCTTTGTGACTGTGACGTTCGGAATGACATTTAACAGCGATAATTCTATCTACTTTCGATATTAATGAATTTCGATATATCACTTCAAATGTGATCCTTTACATATGTAACTATATTTCGGGGGCTGTTTGATGTCAATCGTTATAAGCCAAACTGTATTCCATTAGGTAGCGAGAATCGATCGACTCCTACCTTAGGACCAGACATCCCGCGGCTGTCTGTCAAGATTTCGTGATAAAGAAGGATGGCGCTTCCGGAACAACCGAATCCAGCAGCGACGTTGCGGAGCTGTTCTTCGGTGGAATGAAGTGCACAAACACCAAGAACTTGGGGAAACTTCCGTCTTCTTGAGGCTCGAGTATTCGGCTCCTCATAAAACTTACTTCAACGTTCCATTCCTCCGATAATCTTTCGGACTGTGATTGCCACACTTTGAATTCTACTTACGTATTCGCTCGCATATCAAATATATGCGAAGCATCAGGTTCTTTTTTCCTTTTTCTTTTTTTTAAATATCGCGAAATGAGAAATATAAATTTACTCAAATATTTCCTCAAATATCAACGAACGCGCATTGCGAATAGCTTCATTCCATCAGTTTTGATGAAGCTATGTTGCGACAGCACAATGAAATCTCCGCTACATATGCGCACGCTGCATAGAGAAAAATTTTCGGAGATATTTTCATTTATATCATGTGTCGCATGCGAAATGTACGATCTGCGAAACGAGTTTTCCGATAAATACTATTTTCTTTTTCACGAAAAATTTCAAAAATGGGATATCAAATATCGAATATTGTATAAATGTTAACGCGTTAATAAAAAAATTATTGTATTAATATTTTTTATTTTTACAGACTACCGTAATAACTTTTATACTCTGTGGTACGTTTAAAGCATTGGCAGGCTGGGACTTAAAAAACTCAAATTAACGTGACATCATTTAGAACATCGGCCGCTTTAAAATGGCTTAACTTAACTTGCATTATAAAAAAATAAAAAATAAAAATGATATCTCTGCAGCATTATCAAGCATGTATAAGACTTTCGAAGTATCTGCAGCCAAGCCAACGTCGCCTTGGATGCAATTTCGCATCTGTCCTGCTATCGATCGAAAGGTCACTCAACCAGGTGCCTTCGTAATGGGTTATGACGCCCCTGGGGATACACCACATTGATTGACGGTTACTTTATCCTAATTGGATAAAAATAACGCACAATTCACTCTTAAAATGATGGATGTGGCAACAGAGAAGACGGGATTTTAGAGGTACTATTTCGCACTTGACTCAATGCTATATCAGCATTTTTAATGTCTCGCGCTCGTTGGATTTACAAAAAATTACAATTATTTGCTGTTACAAAAAGGCGAGTAAATAATCCTAATAATAATATTAACAATTTTGATAATAGTTAACATTAAAGAAATAGAAATGTTTTAGCTCCAAGTACGAAATTAATTTACGTGAGAATAAAGTTAATCACTGAGTAATCCCGACATTGTCAAGTTTACGACCGAGTAATTCTAATAAATACATGTTTTCTTATCGTTTTGACATTGACTACTCTACGAAAGTGAAATCAGTTATAAGAAAATATAAAAATCTTTGTTTCTATATCTTTTCTATATCTTCGATCTTGTCAATGCTATCAAAGTTATCAGCCGTTCTATATTTTCACAAAGTACATAAAACAACTGTAGTAGAAATGTGGTAATCATATCTTTATGACACAATCGTGATAATTTAACAATAAAATTTATATTTAACTTAAAGATTTTCACAATAATCAATCGATCAATCAAAATGATAAGCTGTTCAAAGTCTATGCAATAGAGTAAGAAATAATTGAGATTTACAATGTATGTTATATATAGAAATATTTTTATAAACATTTAAAAAATTATTCTAACGGCGAATTTAATCATAAAATTGCAAAAAAGCACATATATAATTTTTCATAAATATGTCTTCAAAATAACTTATGCTTAACATATAAATTTAGATGTATAAAAAGTTTCATTTTTAATTGAAACTTTTTAATTAAAAGAATATTTAATTAAAAGAATATTTATTTCGACTATACAATTATCAAAACAATCTTCATTTTCTTTAATTAATTCCGAGATTAAAGTTAAATGTACATAATTACTACTTTTCTAAAAGTATTTTCACAAAAATTTCCTTTAACAATGCATATCCGTTTACACAAAATCGTGAATACATTGATAAACATTAACAGTCAACAAAAAAAATCAGAAACCAGTAATTTATTTATCTAATCTGATACTTTAAAGCTTGTTACTCAGCTACTCGTTAATATGTTAACCCCCATTTATCATCAGTTAAGTATATAAATTATCATCGTTCATGTTCGACGTCAAACGTGATTGTTAGTGCTTAAGATGTTGCCCTCAGTTTTAATTTTTTTTGGCGTGACATCTATCTGTCAGTGTGAGTAAAATTAATGGAAATATATATGTAATATAATAAAAATTATCTATGTAATTATAGTAAAACGTGCATTATAACCATGGTGGTGAAATAAACTATTTGATTACAGCGAACCTAATGTCAAAAAATTCATTGTTCAAATTCTTATAAAAGCAAGTTTTGATCGATTAATCAAGTGCTAGTGAAAAATGTAAATTAAACAATAAAAAACAAAGTGTTGCAAATTGATGTGACAACTGTAATGAGAAAAAATATTTTTCGGGAAAAAATTGGGAACGTAAAAAACTTTTGAATAAAATAAATAATTAAAAAGTGCAATTTTCATTTGAATTCAATCAAATACTATATTGATTATTACATTTAATATATTTAATTGCGTTAAAATATCCATATAAATGTACCAAATTGATATAAATTCAATATTATGTTAAAAAAAAACAGCTGCCGTATTGCAAAAGCTTGATCCACGTATCATAAATGGCGAGGATGTAAATCCGGGTGAAATACCATATCAGGTAAGTTATCACACGTAAAATTATATTATCTATTAATTCAAATAAAATTATTTTCTTCTCATTAGAAATCTAGTTTGTCTCTCAAATAATTATACAAATATTTCAGCTTTATACAAGCTTTATACAATTTTAACGTGTGCTATAAAAAAAAGAATCTATTATTATCTTTATATCCGATAACTATTTTTCAGATCTCTCTACAATCACGCAACAACGTTCATTTTTGTGGCGGATCTATTCTTAATGAAAATTTCGCTATTACCGCTGCTCACTGTGTCGAAGGGTAATTAGCCTTCGTAGTCGACTAAAATGTCTCGTGAAATATCAAAACGACTTTAAAGCGCATGCTGACAAATTTACAATGTTAATTTTATTATCTTCGCAGCAAGACTCCTGCGGATATGAAAATCATCGCAGGTACTATAAATTTGAATCGTCCATACCTAACACAAGCGATTAAAAAAATTATCCGTCATAAAGAATACGATCCTGGTAATTCGTATGTTAATGACATTGCATTGCTCAACGTAAGTTAATTCATCAACTAAATCGACTATTTTCTTCATATCTCAAATCGTATCACCAATTGAGGTTTTCCTTTTTAGGTATTCGTTCCCTTTAAACCATCGAATCTCATTGGATTCGTCACTCTACCTGAACAAGATGAAGTTGTTCAGGAAGAAGTTGTGGCTAGAGTATCCGGATTTGGAAGATTATCAGTAAGTGCAGCATAAACTCTGCATAATATATGATTTGCTATTGCTACGATTTGTACATACATTTGCGAACTAAAGCAGCGATAATTAATTTTAATATTTTATTCTATTTTTATGTTCGTACAAATTACAGGTAGAGGGACCCGCATCCAAAATATTGCAAAAGGCTACCATTTATATAGCCAAACAAGATTATTGCAGGTATAAGTATAGAGAGATTATATATAATATCTACAATACTCATATTTGTGCCTTCGATCCGGCAATCCACCGAGGATCTTGCAACGTAAGTACAATAAATATATCACAATCTTTTAGTTATCGTCTTTCGCATTGAATATAATTATTAATACGCATAATTGTGAAACAGAAACTGCCGTAAATAATAATTTAAAGAAGACGAAAAAAGAGAAAAAGTTATAAAAAATAATTAATATCTTTCGCAAAATGTATAATAAATAAAAAATTTAAAAAAGAGCAACAGTTGTGAAAGCCATATCACTTTTCAAGTTTGTTACGCAAGCTTTAAGTGTTTTATGTATGCACAAATCGCAATTTCTTTTTTTTTTTTAATAAAAAAATCTTTAATCTTCTTTTGCAGGGTGATTCGGGTGGCCCCTTGATCGTTAATGGAAAGCTCGTCGGACTCGTATCATGGGCAAAATCTTGTGCCGATACTGACTATCCAACTGTGTTCACTCGCGTACCTTCGTACGTCAATTGGATCAAAGAGAATGCCGTAGTATAAATTGAATTGATATTCATTATTCGTATAGACTGACTATTGCCAATTTACACCAGCACACCGAATGTATTAGATTTCGTTCATTTCGTTTTTCCTTTCCGTCGCGTTGAATGTGCCGCCAACCATAGTTTTCTTATCTTGTATGAACAAAATGTATTGCTGTCACTAGTATACGCTATATCTTAACGCCTAAATTGATTGTTAATACAATATAACAATTTAGACATGTACGGAGATCAGTTCCATATCATGTTTGCGATACAAGCACTTGTTAATTAATATTAATTAATTAATGTTTTAGTGTAATTAGTTAATTGTAATTAGTTAATATAATTAATTAATTAATGTTATAAATTTTGCAAATTTTATAGTTTTTACTAATCGCATATACTAAATATTTCATTAATTCAAATATTGTAAACATTTCCTCGTGCTACTTTATTAGAGTCTCTAATACTTACAAATAATTAAAGAAAAATTTTTAAATAGACTAATACATAATTTGTATCAGAATGAACAGAAAGTTTAGTGCAAAAAATTTAGTGCAAGAAATAATGGATGTTATAAAAGTAGATAAACGAAATGTTAGACAAACAAAATAAATTTGATTTGCCTTTAAATTGTAAATACTCAAAATTTAAACATAAACATCTGTAAATTATAATTAGATAAAACTCGTAACACACGTTTACCATAATTGGCATACCCGCTCTCGTTATTTTTTATAAACGAATGCATTTAACCCAAACAATCGGTTAGAGCGACAAATCGTCAAGGATTACCTTACGTTTTTGCATTTACCTCGTGGAATTAAATCAGACCGCGAAGAAAATTGAAGCTACGGAGTGAATAACACGTTAAGTAACGCCATTAGATAACGTCACATACTTCATAGTCGTGTTCTGTCTGTGATTAGTTGCTGCACACACGATCATGATTATTCATATAATCCGCTCCGTCGCCTTGACGATAATTAACTTACCCCTGTAGCGCCGCTAACTTAGCATGAACGCGGCAGCCGTAATTTGCACTTGACTAATTACAAAGGCGTTACGCGACGTTACAGCAGTAGCACGATTAACGTTTCGTAATATTTTCGCGACGTTACAAGAAACGTCGTTTGTTCCGCAATAATAACGCGAGCGAGCTCAATAAGAGAAGTTCAATATTGCGCCCCCGATAAAATTTCCGATAAGCGTTCACCGTTAACATAAACGGCTTATAATCTGTTGGGCAGAAACGCGCGAAATTTGCCGGTGAAGTTTACGCACGAGGAAATACTTGTTGATCCGAAACGATCTTCTATTTGCACGCGCCACTGCGTTGAGATTAACGTTTTATTAGTTGGATAAATGTACATAGCATAGATTTAGTGGCATGCGTTAGTAAATATTTCAAACATCTATATTCGTAAAATCAATAGACTCAATTATCATTTTTGAACGAGGCGATGTAATTCGTGCATAACCCAACATTTTCGCCGATGGCAATTTCCAACAAATCTCCAATAATTTCCAATAATTCTCCATGTGTTTTTTGAACGGTGCGGTATATTGGTCAATAAATTTGAAAGTTCCGTCCAAGTATTGGGACGGGATATAGAATTACAATATACAACATTTTAAATCGAATGTGAATACATTTAAACATGTAAAACACTCGAAATAAATTTTGCTGTTTCGACATAAATTGTTTATGCGAATATATATATTGTTATTTTAATTTTACATGATCGCTTTACATTTTCATCCTGGAAAATGGATAGAATCAATTTGCTCGCTCGCGTAAACCATCGTTTTAAATTTAACAACACGTAAAATCGCTGGGATGAATATATATGACAAGCGCGTCATATCTTCTCCGAAAGATAAAAGTTTTCCCTTCTATCTTCTTTGAAAGATAAATCGATTTCGCGTCCGATGGGAATGACGCGAAATCGACGGGGGAAGAGAGCGGGAATAAGCACATTCTGTATACAAAGTCGTATGACATTACGAGGCTGGGCGTCAATTAGCAGCATTGTCGATATCTGCACAGAGACGGTCCCGAGACTTTACACAAACTGGCAATCGATGCTCTTTTATCGCGGCGGGTCATGCGCATAGTGTCGTAATACGTAGCCGCTGCGACTATTTTTCCGAGCAAGAGAGGAGAGGCGAGTACCGCACGCGCTCGTTCAACCGTTCCTGACGGTCGCTTCGGCGAGGGCATTGTCAAAGTTCAATGTACTCCAATAAATCGTGCAATTGTTAAGAAAATCGCGAAATAACGCCGTGACTCATTGACGTTAAGACGACATCCTAACGTTTTGATAAGGATGTTTACTGCGCCGTACTGCCGTAACGTAATCACCAACGCGTGACCTCATTTAAGTCACGCGTGAATTCATCGAGAGAACTGTATTAAAATAACTCTTTAATACAGAAAAATAAACAAGTAAAAATTAAATCTATGTAAAATAGATAATTATAAGAGTAAATAGTTGACTTTTAAAATGTGCAGAATTCAATCTATCAATTACATATCTCTCTATGTAAAAATCTATTCTTTCTATTCGGAAACATTAGTTAATAGAATTAACAAGAATATAAAAGACTCAACAGAAGTTATCTACGAGAAATTGTAATTATGTTACATACATAATGCTATAAAACGATATCATGTCATAATGAAAATCATCATGCACATAATACAAATAATACACGCTTCTCTCTGCGTAAATAATGATTTCAGAAAACGGCATACTTTTATATCACTTCTCATAAATCTTTCCTCTCTTTAAAAGGGCTCGCTTTGTTTGAAAATCTCGGCAATTTTACGCGTGGAAGGAAAAACGTGTTCTCGAAATCTCACGAACGCTCGTGCGAAGAAGCGCCCGTTGTTCCCGGACAATCTTTGAACCTTTTATTCCATTTGCAGTTTTGCAACAACCGATATTCCAAAAGAGACTCTTGAATAAAACATGCAGACGGCAAGCTTCACCGACGTAAGGAAATAGATTCCCCCGTGCAAACAATATGCGCTCGTAATGTACGCTCACCGAGCGAATTGGCGAAATGGGAATTTGTACGCAAAAAATACTGCGCGAGGTAGACAATGATACAATGTCTTTCGTCCTACTTATCCCATTTTATTCGCTTGTCTATCATTAAGATGGGGAACACTTAACGCCACTTATCACGTCTATTAGCAAATAATTTTCATAAAATACTGAATACAGTCGAGTAGATTATCTATCTGATAACATGACCTAATTAAGTGATGTTAACTATCTAATGTGTGATTAAGTAATAGTTTCGATTCAATTTATTTTAAGCATTGCGTAACAAAAATTAATCGAGATATTTTTTATCGCATTTAATATTTTTAGCGAGCGATACGGCTACCGTTATCACAGTTAATAAACAATCGCGCTCAAATCTGCATAACACGCAATCATAAATATATTTCTAAATATCTGATAAATATTCTCATTGTTGCCGCATGCAGATTTCACAAAATAAACAAAGTAATGCAATAACAAAAAATATTACATCACTCCGATTAAACTGTAAACAACAATAAAATTTTACTGTCAAATCTTCTAATCTAATCTAATCTAATCTTTGTGTATCGCGGTTTTCTCCCATTTGATGCAACCTACGATTACAAATTCCACGAGCAGTTCATTGCTATGGATTCGCTTTGGAAGGTTAACTAATTCCGTGTAAAGTTGTAAATTTCTCTGCAGTCCCTACATGCTACCGTGAAGTTCAGCAAAGGCTAGGCGAGAGCACGATTGAGAGTTCGTGTACGTAAAGTATCAGTGATCTCACGATCGACGAACCTTTGATCATCCATTCAATCGATTACACGATCGGAGCCAGAGGTCGTCGCTCGCAGATGAATCCCGAAACTCTGACAGAGTCTGCAGCTATCCTGGACTTACAATCGATCGCCTTCCGCTTATCCGTTCGACAATCCGTCAGGATTTTCTGAAAATTCGTGAACTACAAAAATGACCGAAACTTCAGCCCTTATGAGATTTCCTGTTAAAATTAGTACCGCGAAAACTTTAAATAAAGCTTTAAATAAAGCAATTAAAATTTTTAACGCAGTCTATCATTATCAAGATTATTCGCAATGTTAACTTTCCAAAATAGTTCTCTTTTTTCTTAACACCGTTATATTGATTGTGAAAATCCTAATAAGATCCACTTTACGTGTAATTCAATGTAATATTATATGTGTGTCTGCAACGAGAGAGAAAAATCTTTGATAAAAAAGTATTTAAAAAAATTAAAAAATAATAAAATTATAATAAACGTATGTAAGCTGTTTGTGAACAAGTTGACATGCGATAACTGTAATCAGTAGATTACTTCCGCGAAAATTCAATATAATGTCTGCCACGACTATAATTAAAGTAGCCAATTCAAACGATAAGCTGTAAGAAATGCAAAAATGAAATTATGCTATCGTATCAATCAAAGAATTGATATTCTTTTTAATAACGATTTAATCTCAAAGAGCCGTGTGAAAGATTCGTCGAAGAAGATAAAGAAATATGGGAAAACCCAAATCCATGTCACGACCATTGTTTTAATCAAGCGATAAAAGTGATAATATAATTATAAAAGCATTCTAAAAAATTATTAGAAATTAGATTTATTCTAAACGCTAAAGCTTCTAATCAAAACAATAATATTTCAAATAAATTCAATTTCAAAAAAAAATCAAAAATTCTTCAAATTCTTTAATTCTTTTAAATCAAAAAATTCTTTATTATAAAAAGCTACAAAAATGTAGTTATTACAAGCATAATGACTGAATAAGTATAATTATTTAAAAATTATTAACTTACGTAAAAAGTAAAATTAAATTAATAAATATATATGATGACAAGGGAATAAATCAAATTAGAACAATTTGAGAGATAAAAATTTCAAAGTGATTGAACATCACGTACTTATCGAAATGATTATTGTCTATATATCAGTATGTTCCGAGTGCCCGATATAGTACTTTATAATCGATCTATCTAATCTAGGATTTTCAAGAAAAAAACTTAACGATCATTGGACTTCTTATACAAAAGCGGGGGAATGTAATATGTTAGAAACAGATGTATATAAATTCGTGTCAACAGGATTTCAAATCAGACTACGGTCAGTGATTGAACGATGAAGTTAACAATTCTGTGTCTCCTTAGCCTGTTGGCGTTCTCCCAAGGTGAGTGATGATCCTTTCAAGCTGACCGATAATCATTTGTTTCAGAGAATACAAGTTGATACAGATCTCT